TTTCTGGTGTAGTTTACATCCTGCCGCTCTTCCACAACCTACCCAATTCAATGGCGTGATGCATTGATGATATACTGTTTTGAACTCTTCGGCTTCTCTTGAGCATTTCTTGCCTCGAACTCGAGTACAGCGAGTGCACGTCACAAAACCATGGGATAAAACCTTCCTATTTGACCCGGACACTTTGCTGGTTATGACGATTCTATAGAACGCGTGGTTGCTACGAGTGACGAACTTGTACATCTGACGACTCTTTTCATTTTTAATACTTTCGCACGTCTAAAGAGATTTTAATGACAACCAGATTTCATTTGTGTGAGGAGAATTACACACCAGTTCCATTGTTTCTTGTACACGCAAGCGCAAATGAATCCGTGATAGAAGACCCGTCAATGGACCCCAACGTCCATTTGTATATCATTTTGTCTTCGGTGCCGAGGACGTTACTCATATTTCTATTGTCACAGAACCAGGAGTGGCACTCCTGTGATGCCAGGCTGAATTTTATACTCAAGGTTGAAACAAACGACAACGTTTTCTTTTATTTTTTATCCCTTTTGTTTTGGTCGAGTAAATAATTTAAACAAAAAATCATTAATTTATATTTGGAATCACGTCCAATGCTGAAAGTAAATATAAATATAAATATATATATATACACATATATATTGAGTCATAAGAAGGTATGTATATCCTTTTGCTTTTTAGTTTTACTTTATGTATTTATTCATTTGTCTTTTAGTGTTTCCATTGATTGTGGAACTTGTTTCTTAAGTCTCCAAGTTACAATATGAGTTTTTGAATTTTAGGAGGGTTGTAGTTCCATTAGGTAGTTGATTTTGCTAATTTAGGTGTTCAACTATAGGATTAATCATTTAATACCTATATGTCATATAATGTATCTTTGTAGGTATTAAATGATTAATCCTATAGTAGTAAGCTAATATATTTTAATATATCAGATAATTTTTAAATTTAATTTTTTATTTAAATATATATTAATATATATCTATATTTTTTTATCTAAATATTATATTTTTCTAAAGCTTCAAAATTATCTATATGTTTGTTCTAACATTTGTTAGTCAAATGATTTTTAGATATGAGTTATTATATGAATTTACTAAAAGAAACTTTATTCAACACCTCAACTTTAGTCACAACACTTTAAAATGATATTTTAAATTTAGATAGTCATTTTTTTTTTTTTTTTTTTTTTTTTTAATTATATTTCTATCCATTGTAATAGTCAAATATTTCTAAAACCTATAAAACATAGTTTTTTATGCTTATGTAATGCTCAATTTAAGAGAATAAAATATAAAAATATTGACTTTATATATATATATATATATATATATATATATTCTAATTTTGATTATTTAATAGAATAAAAATTTATATCTATATTTCTATATAAATAAGATATCTTTAGGATACAAAATCAATTAGTATTTTGTCAAAGAATAATACATGTGATTAAGTTTTATAAAATATACATGCTCAAAGAAATTAAGTAGTGATACTCTAATTCTTTGTAGGCATGCGTATCTCATTATAGACTCTATAAAAATCTATTTTGGTATAGATTTTAGCTTGATCCAATTGATTAAGAAGCTTAGATATAAATGGTAAAGAATAAAACTTTTTTATTGTTACTTTGTTGAAATTGCAGTAGTTAATAGACATCCGTAAAGTTCCATCTTTTTTCTTTACAAAGAATATAGGTGCATCAATAAGAAATTTAGAATGTTGAAGAAAGTTATTTACAAAAAATTCATTAATATAATCCTTCAATATTGTAAGCTTGTTTTATAACAAGTTATAAATTGGACCAAAATACCATTGTGTACTATTTTAAAGATGAATATTACAATCATATGGATAATATTTTGTTAAAGTATATGTGTTTATTTTTTCAAACACATCTTAAAATTCTCTATATTCTTTTATAAGGTTTTTAAGGATATTTGCTTCTATAGATGTTAGAGTTGCATAAATAATAAAAGTGTTCATTTTTTGGTTACTTTCTTAAGAGCTTTATTTCCAATAAAATGAGACCTTATGATTTTAGATCTATAAGATATATAGAATTCACTATTACATTTAGTAATAATAAGTTGTAATTTTTTAGAGAATATTATTTTACATAATATCTAATCTATATAAAGATTTTATTTTTTCATATCTTATATTTTCAAATTTTTATTAGAATTAGAAGATGTGAAAGATAACAAATAAAGTTGTAGCACAAATAATAGACTTTTATCTTGTCGGCATTGAAAAAGTCAATTATAGCACTTCACAACTTGACTAATGGTATTATTAAATGATTGAGAATCAAAAATAGACATTTATAGGTCCTTTATACTTTCTTATAATCCCTACTAACATTGGCTTATTAATGTCTTCTCTATCTAATTTATATCACACATTAATTGTTAAAAATTTAAAGAATAAACCAATGCAAAACATGTTTCTTATTGAAGGCTTTAAATCTTTATTGTTGCAAAACAAATTTTGTCATATTTTCCAAATACTTTCTCAAATGCCACCTAAAATGTTTCAAAGTTATGAATTATGGAAGAATTATTTTCAACTAATAAAAGCAAGCCAAGACAAAGCTTGATATGAAAGCAATGTTTTAACTAAACCAATATAAGATACTTTTATAGAATATTGTTAATGGTAAAACATAGTAATAAGTTGTATTTGATTTATAAAGCCACAAAAATTTTAATAAGTTTAATCCAATTTTTTTAGAAGGAAAATTTTTATATTTTTATTATTGACATTTAATTGCTATCTCACATACATATATTGTTAAGTGAAATAGACCTTGATGATATAATTCTTAATATAACTTTGTAGTAGTAGCTAAAGCGGTTCTATTTTTGACCATTATATATAGCCATATAAAGTTCTTGATTTTGCTTAGATAAGAACTTTGTCTTGATACTTAATGCTATAAGAATATTTATAATTGAATCTAATTTGGTTTCTTAAGAATTTTTTATATTAAACTAGTCTTTTCTTGGAATAAAAATAAAAAAAGAAAAATAATAGAAGAAATCAAGAATAATAATGTGTAGAAGAAAATAATCCACAACCTCTTGAGGTCGACAATTTTTTTAAGAAAAGGAATAATCCACATTTTATTAAAAAATATCAACTTCTAATATTGTATTATATTGGATAATACATCACTTAGATATGAGAAGACTTCAAGGACTCAAAGAAATGAGATAGAAGAAATTTTCTTATTTCATAACCAAAGAACTATAATAAGGGACAAGAACTACATCAAAAGTCTTAAGTTAAGCTACAAAAATTGCATTTTGAAACTTAGAATCCCTATAACTTTGACTACTATATATATCAAATACAAAGAAGTTCTTTAAAAAATCTTTTTGATGCTTGGAGGTAAAATAAGCCTCTAGGAACCTTTCACTATCATTTAAGATCCCTTAAAATCTTCTAGGAACTTTTAGAAACTTGGAATCTTTTGGAACCTATTAAGAAGTTCTCAAACTCATCAAGAACTTTCTAAAACCTTCCAAAGTCTAATAGAACCTTTTTCTATTGTATGATTGTGACAATACCTCTTACAACTACTACATATAATACCATCTTGTTATGTGATCTAAATTTATGCATAACACTCTCTAGATGCAAGTCTTCTACAACATCTCCAATCAGTTTTGTTCAACTTTGTTCTAAAATACATCTATTACTTAACTTGGTTGCCCTAACTAATCCATAATTTAATTCACAATCTCAAGCATTATACTGATAATTACTAAATACCAACAAGACTGGATGCAAGTAATTGATTGATGATAAATAAAACATAAAGTGAAGAAGAAATAGAAACCCCACTTAAAGCAAAGCTGTGGGTGCAAGAGTACCATCGCCCTCCTTTGAGCCCCGAAGGGGCGATGTTTTTCACAAGGTCTATATGCTTAGCAGCAGCTCGGAACCCAATGGCCGAGTCCCCACAAAGCCCTTGTTTTGACCCCCTCAACGACTTCACGACACAGTAATCTTCTTGCAGGGTTCCAGGTAGGAACACCAAAATTCGGCATTCAAGGGACTGGCTTGGAAATCCAAGCATACTTTATCTGGCTGAGTTGTGGTGTTTGATCCCTCTGCGCAAATCATGCCAAGCTCTGTTTGTGTTGTCGGAATGGAAACATTATACAGACATTAAAAAAAAAAAATAAAGAACAGAACCGACCTCGACGCCCACTGGAGACTTCGATCCAGAGTAGAATATGTTCAGTCATGACATGTTCATTCACGACTTTTGGGAGTATATATCAATCAAACCTGTTGCCAGATTCATTGGCTATGGTGGGGGCGACTTCTGCAATTCAACTTTACTGCTCATGTGTAAAGCGCACCAAAATATCGTGCTGATGACATATTTGACAACAGTTGTGCTAGGAGAAGAGTAAGAGTAATGACTTTGGGGACACGACCGGTTTGTATGTACATTTGACTTTTGTTGTGTGTTGGTGTTTTTTATTTTTTTTCCAGTCCTTTTCTTTGTATCATTACCAAGGCTATCTACATCTTGTCAAAAACGGTGTTCGATGTTGGACCTGTCTGCACATGGTGGATGAAAAGGCTACATATTCTTGGATTTCATGGGAACTCTCACACTCAACATGTGATGTAGACCTTCGAGTGCTTGGAAGTACAGTTCCAGTGTAAAAATGTTTGTGTCCGGTAGAACTTGCAAGTTGTATCCATTATAATCCTGCATAGTTTACACTAACCCATACTTTCAGGGCGCGCAATTTGGTCCGTCTCAAGCTCAGTTCTGTTTCTGTTAATTAGTATGGCTGTTATGTACTGAATAGTGAATTGAGAAGGTCGATTAGATAACCAAAAAATAGTTAATTTAATTTGTTATTAGAAAAGAGTTTGTGCTGATTCAGATTCTAAATCTGGTTATCTACTAGCTTGTGTGAAGAAATTATTTATTATGGTTAGACTTCAGGAAATAGCTGGTTTGAGTCTTCCAGCACTTTTAAGGGTTAAAAATGTACTCAGAAGAGAAGCTTGTCGAGGCAGTGCTTTTATGCTGCCATTGAACATAAGTACGATGATGGTCCCTCATAACGAACATGATAACATACTCTACCAAACGCAGAGACTATAGAAACTTGTAAGTAATTGGATCAATAAGCCAAGTATAATACTATACGGAATCTGTGACAAAAGGGTCTACTTCTTCACCTATTTAGAATGAGCCTGCAAGAAACTTTATATATTTACCTCTGTGCATTCTCATGATCCTAACATGTGGAACGGAGTTAATGCTGTCACCTATAATAAAAGTTCAGATAGAATTAAGGCAGCGAAAGAATACCCGCACTGGGACCTAGCGCACTCGTGGGAGCTTCAGAAAAAATATGAGAGGGAGAAGTATCAATGAAGAATTTAAGTAATAATGAAGAATCCAAAGTTGCTTATAAAGGAGGCAAAAGCTAAGGTATGGTCGAGAAGGCCTGTTGACTATCCTCTTAAACACAACCAAAACATGTCGGATATTCACTAAGCATCTGCTCGCCAGCACCAAGACTCGTTGCACATAATTCCTGTGGTGGCAGGAAAACGTGGACGAGGCATCAGAGATGTAGACAGATTAAGTCATGGTTCCCTGCGTGATGGAAGCTGGAGTTGCGAGCACCGGTGGTCAACATCAATCTCCATTAGCTCTCTCACGTTGCTGACAGGTAACCGTATGCCCAATCCAGCCTTGTGCATTAACGATTTTGTATTCTCTAGTTCCTCTTTAAGTGCCTGCGAAGAACAACAAAAGCGTGCACGTTTCTGGCAAACAATGAATATCCAATGACTACAAAGTCAATATCACCATGTATACGAATGAGGTCATTTAACGTGAACCAGACGCTGATACTTCTATGGGCATGGCACAACATATACTAGAATTACTCAGGCCTTGAACTACGTGGTCCAGAAAAAGATGCTGGTGTACCATGGTCTTAGACACTAATCCTTCCTGCTGATGTATTGTTCATAAATGAGGTGATGCAAATGAATGATGCTGGAGTTACTGACAGATCCTAAAATCATCTGGTAGCAAGTTTTGTTGCCAAGTACAACAGTTGCCATACAATCTACGAACAATGCTGCATTCATTCTGTTCACTCATGAGAGACAACTTTTCCAATTCATGTGCAGGAAAACAAAATTTTGCATACTCCGGAGAAATTTCCCACAATTTGCCAACCAGGATGATAATAGCAAGATTAAGTCAGGAACTAAAATGACCTCAAGTAAGCGAAGAGCACCTGATGGTCTCTCTCGAGTTGTTCGTGCTTGGACAAGAATGAATGTTCACGAGCTTCCCAGGATGCACGCTCAGATTCCCAGATCTGACGCTCTGCTTGCAACTTGCTCTTTATGGACTGTAGCAGCCAACAAACATTCTCACTATTTTAACGATTGTTCAATTCACAAACGAAATGTCATTACTCATCCCTCAAGATACTTCGCCCAGTGTCGCATTATTACTTCCCCAATAAGAATAGAAGCTGGATGCACTACATAAGCATAAGCAGTTGATCAAGCCGTGTTTCTTGCTTAGTTGATCAATGAAAAAAGTTTCCAGAGTCACAAGCTCTTCACAAACCTTATCATGAACGTTGACCTTGCCTAATTCCACAACGTTTTGTGCTACACCAGGCACCACCTTATCAGTTGACTCATCTTTATCATCTGCAAATTCAGAATCTTGCAAGTGGATGTCCGCAAGGGTAGTTGTAATCAAATTAACTGGCCTGCATGAACAACACAAATCACAAGCTCTTCTTTTGCAAGGCCTGCTATAGACAGCTATTATTAATGAGCAACACATTATTTCCCAATTTTCAAGAGCACTTATTCTGTCATTTCACCAAGTATGCATGATCGAAGATAAACCAGAATTTTCATTCAGTAACCCAGAATATGTAGGCCCTTAAAAATCTTGATGAACTTTGTTTCAATCAAATATTTCTGTACTCATGTGCATAACAGTAAGCAAATTAAACACATTTATTTGAAAAAAATCCCCCGATATGTGTCAAAGTTGAATGATCGCCCAAACTCTGCACCGAAAATGCTGAAGCTTATTAACTATTTCTTACACCCTCAAACGAGCAGGGGAATTTAATCAGGTGAATAACAGAGGATACTCCTGAAAACTAAATAACACTGTGGCAACTCTCAATGTTCAAGAATGCCATCAACTGGAAACAAGAAAACTTAGGGCTATATTTGATGACCCAACACCTTCCAAATTAACATACCTTGTAATCAAACAGGGTAGAACACACCTTTTGAGTAAAGGATCGGACGACACAGTTTCAACCTGTTTCAACAAGTATTGCACGTTCCTAGCGTGGTGTGTTTGCAACTCCGTCAATCTGCGAAGGTTGAAGTTGTAATCATCATTAGAATACCACAACCTCCCGTGATGTGGGGAGCACAAACTACGTATGCTTCTACCAGTGTGGTGCCAGAATTTACTGTTTCAGAATTCATGTCCAAAAAATCATAATCCTCAAAGCATCTACTCAAGATAGGGCATGATAGCATGTCCACCATTAGGACTTCGAAGTAGCTCAGCTTTGCTTCACAGCGGAGCAGACAAAATTAAAAATATGTCAGAATGGACATGTTATACAATCACTGAACACCCAAGGGTCAAACTGGAAGATTCATTAAAAATGATGTGTTTTTTTGAGCATGTGTAAGCTTGCAGTTTATAAGATCTTGCAAAGAATGCACAATCGAGCCCTACTGAGACCACAAACCACCTCGCTCGCAATATGGGTACCTGCGGTCAAATTCAAGCTGTTTCAGCCTAGAGTTTCGCTCGATTTCGTTGAGTGCTTGTTTCTTCTCCTTCAGCTGAACCTCAAGATTGGCCATGTCTTTAGCTTCCTGCCGTTGCTTCTCTATTGCTCCAACAAATTTTTCCAAGTATTTTCCCAGCATGACCTTGGCATCATGCGGTGATATTGTATCAAGCTGGGCAGTCATTTCCTCCCTGCATTAGTTTTAATCGTTTTTGTCATCTCAATACAAAAGACAAGCAACAAGCGGAAGAACCTATGGAGTGGGGAGGTGATTTTTTAAATTAATAAAAACTGATCATTCAAGGAATGTGCAATATTGCACTCTTTAGGAATGTCTTGCTATCAGAGGACTTAAATATGAGAACGTGATTAAAGTAGCTCCACAGGATAAAAGTTTTACTTGGTGATATTTCCCTCCAAGATATCACGCTCGTGCTCAGCAATGGATGAGGTCACATACTCCGCTTGAGCATCCAGACCCTCAATCCGCTCATCCAGGTCCCTAAGCTCTTCCGCCTCTTTCAATAGTTTCTGAGAACTCTGAAAATCCTCCAATTTTATACATGTTTCCTTTTCACGAGCACAGTCCTCATGCAGCAAAGTAACCTGATCCCAATTTTCATCAGGCACAAAGAAACTTGCCAAAACCATAATCTTCATACATTGGAACACTGATTCATTCACCTCTACCATCAATGGGAAGTAGTCATAAAACCGGGTCAGATGACGTGCTCTATGATGTTTGTGGGAAAAAAAGTACCTCCTCAGTAAGTTCATTTGCGAGAGCAAGCTTCCCTGCAGACTTCGCTTCCTCCGCTTTGCCCAGCTTTTCTTGGGCATTTTTCTCAAGCATCTCAATGCGAACTCTTTTTTGCTCTAATTTTTTGGTTATGTCATGCACAGCACGCGCGTGCTTTAACTCCAGCTTTGATCTTTCATTCACACAATCATCCTTCTCTGACAGTATCTCTTCCTTCTTTGCCTCCTGCTCTAATCTTGCACATCAGAGTGGCACTTCGAACCCCAAAAAATTGCTGAGGAATAGCCGAAAGATGCTGTTCTTAAACAAAGAGTTGACGATGAAACTTATAACTTCGATAAATATCCATATGACCGCCATGTAGACGTTAATGTACCTCGAAAAAAAAAAAAAAAAAAAAAAAAAAAAAAAAACTCTCACCAATTTGTTTGTGGAGTTTTTCGCTTCCTTCATCTTCAAAAGCTTGTCGATCTCTTGGTCTAGAAGAGATTCCATGCGGTCTACATTTATCACATGAGGTGACTCAGCAAGACCAGGAAGAGCAGTTCTTCCCCTCTTGGAATTACTTTTCTGATCAGTACGCTCTTGACTCCCAACTATTGGTGAATCCATTACTAAAATTTCTAACTCCAGTTTCTTGTTGGCTGCAGACCTTTCCTCATTCTTTGTGCTGGTAACCTGACTTTGTCGCTGGTTTTCAATCTGTCAACCTCACATCCAATGTCAGATTCAAGCTCCTATCAGTTCACTGAGCACAGTAAGCATGTCCAGTTCCACGTTGACCATATCATTCCCATGTACACTGAAGATATATTGTCCAATAACATTCAATCTTCAACCCTATAAGAGGTTCGACTGCGGGATCCTTCAAAGCCATCCAACCTCAGCATGCAAGGATTTTTTCTATTCAAGTTCTTCGACTGACGCTAACCAAATCTTCACCAATTTACTCTCTAGTAAAGCAAATTTCAAGAACAAGATATACCAATTTATTTGAAATTTAGTACACATCACAACAGAAAAAGAAAGCCATAATAAAGAAGTACTAATCCCAAATATACCCTTTCTATCTGCAATCTCTGGAGGTAATTAATGAAGAGGCGTTTAGGCTAGATACCTCCAATTCACGAGCACGTTTAACTTGATTTTCTGATTCTCGCTTCAAAATAACCATGTTTTTCTGGTGCATCTCATGGCCATCCTCATACTTCTCAGTTGTTTCCTTTATCTTCTCCTTCAAGAAATCTTGCTGGACCCGCATACGAGTAATCTCGTGTTGCAATTGCTGCACCTATTATTACACAAACATTGCCGCAGTTCGAGTGAATTCTTTCCATGCTGAGCTCTAGGACAAGGTGAAGCTGAAATTCTCGTAGTACAATAGACCAACAAGGTGCAGATATAAATTCGGCAAACTTAGCAATTCCCCAGGTTTGAATAGTTTCATGAAATCCTGTGCTCATGTTGGGGTATCTCAACAAGTTGCCAGATATTGTATATAAATGACTTGATCTGAATCTTGACAAGAGGGACGTGTCCAAGTACTCGAAAGGAGCGGCTAATCGATGTGGAGTTCGCGTTGTGATTACCATGTCCATACTTACTGGCTATTCAGTGAAATCAGGACAAAATCATAAATACCTTTACATCAGATTTTGCCTTTTGCCGCTCAAGGCGTTGTGACTCTTGCTCCCAACGTTGTTTTTTAAGAGATACCAGTTGAGCGGTGATTTTCTTCACCTTCTCCTCATACTGTTCTCGCAGTTTCTTCTTCTCCTCTATCCCACGAACAACATTTTTATCTATGGCCTCCAATTCCTTCTTCAAGGAATCCACCTCTTCCTCTTTTCTTTTCATCTGAAGATAACCGACAGAAAAGATTGTTGATAGCAAAGAGGTACCTCTTAAAATGCCTTAAGAAATGCTAAAAATATCTGCAATTGGAACATGGCACTAATCATCTCACGGCAAGGTTCTGTGCTAGTTGCTACCTGACCTTAGAAGTCTGCAAGCAGTTCATTAGATTTCTTTGTTTGAAAATAGGAAAAAAAAATTAAATTAAATTAAATTAAAATTCAAAGAATTATGGTTCATTTTCAGGTCAGCCTTACACAATTTTTTCACTTATACAGCATTTCTGAAGATAAATTGATGAGGGTGATTTGTTTCAATATGGAAACCAAACACACCAGGAGAAGGTGATGACGGTGAACCTCGGCTTCAAGTTCAAGCATGCGGCTCTCATATTGCACTGTCAAGTGCTTTGTTTCAGATTCATTTTTAGCCAATTCTTCAATAAGCTCCTCCTTCTGCTGAATGCTGAAGGCTAACTCATGCAGCTGCTTGTCCATTACCTGCAAGGGCCACCTTTGTCTAATCAAAACTTGAAGTCACATTTTATTCTCTGGCAAAGGAAGAGTGATTTTATGCCCGCTGAGTGTATAAAAACTTGAAACTCGTACATCCAATTACTAACTTCATAAAGTTTGTAGGAGCTCACCTGAAAGAAGACATTAATACCAAAAAAGAAAAGTAAGAACAAAAAGAACTGTAGAATTTAGAAGAGACAACACCTATAAAAATGAAGTCACATGCAGAGAAGAAATTTATAATCCATGTGCATAAAACACGAGTACATTTGAAGCAATCGTGCAAAAAAATACGCATCACACGAGTATCGACATCATAATACGGACAAGCTAACCAATGTCAGCAATTTTGTTTACATCCATATAACCCAAAGGTTATGAAACAGATAAAAAGGCGACTGTTTATTCTAAGCTCAGCAGGACTTTCGTACGTGATGCTAAATAAAGTTTCTTTATTCTGTTATACAAAACATATCGTTTCTACATATTCGATGAAAGATCCTGTTGAAACCCTATGATTTGCTACAAGGTCGCCTCTTTAATGTGGGAAGGAAGCTGGCAATAAACTTGGCAGTCGAAGTAGTTGAATATCAATATATGCTTCCTAGTTCAATTAGTTGTCATGCCGTCCTAATTATCACGTGTCTCACATGGTTTTGGCCATAGACAGTTCGAAAGGAGGTTGAACCTCTGTAAACAAACAATTCTGTGAGATGATTGCAAGTGAAGGAGAGATTAACTTGATACCAATAGTCTTGCAGGTCATCAGAAGTCAAACCTACAACTCAGTGGACACTCAATCTCTTGTTCAGGAAAACTACACCTGTTTGTTACGCTTAAATTCTCGAGTTTGAACACGCTCATCCTCTTCAAGATGTTTCTGCTCTTCAAAAGCTATTTTTTCAGAGAGAAACCCTTCTTTCGTATCTCCAACCTTAACCAAAGATATCCCACATGCACGGGCCACAAAAGTTACATGGATCTAGACAAGCAGACAGAAAACAATACAATGATTTTCACGTGTTTCTCAAAATTTGGGTATTCTGGATAAACGAGGAATTAAAAGACCAACCTTCAGTTTTTCACTTAAATCGCTGAGACAAGCTTGATCAAAAGTATCGCCCATATCAATAGAACCATCTAATACGTCGCCCTTAGCCTGAAGCGTAATATTACATCATGTTTGAGAAGGTTGCAATCACAAACTCTGCTTCTACTTATATTTTGTCATGTGCAATGCAGACTTTGACAAAACGTTTGATGATGGAACTCAGATCAAAGTCCTCAAAAAAAATGCATTTTAAAACTCTAATACCACAAGCAGTTGGAAAGATGAGACGAATAAGGACAATATCAAAAACAAAGACAATAACTTAATTGATAAAACAACATCAACTTCAAGTAACAACATACAGATACTGGCAAAGATTGTGATTGCAACCTCATCAGAGTTCTCCATGTTGTCACTATAACAATCATCATTTTTTCCTTTTGGGTTCATAACGGCAACTGGAAGTCCAGGAACACCAGCACCATTCATGACGAAAGCGTCTGGCCGCCCAGTCTGCAAAGTTTCAATCGATGTTCGAAGACGACCCAATTCATCCTCCTTCGCCATGGCCTCCTCGGACAAGCGCGAGATGATAGAAGCATCCTTTTCTGTCTTTTGCATCAAAGTCTTCTTCTCATTTGACAGATCTTGGGCAAGCTTTTTCAGTATCTTTATCTCCTTCATCTGTAAATTTGTATGTAAAAGGAAATAATATTTACATTAGAACGTGGTCACACAATAGCATATGACTCTCTGCTATGTAAATATACACAATGTAGGACATTTGAGGCTACCTTCTCAGCAAAGATCCGTTCATCTCTTGCGAGATCTTCAGTGGCTTCCTTCAATGCTTCGTCTTTAGATTTCACATCACTTTCTTTGACTGCTAGTCGCTCTTCCAGGACCCGAATCGTTCGCAAATGCTGGTTGATGATGTTGCGAGTACCTCTATTAGCTTGATTCGGAGAGTTACAATTCACACGCTGCATTAAAAGTAAATCACAAACAGTTTATGTTGTAGACGACATGAACTATCTTCTTCAAACTTCAAAATGAACTTCCAAGTGGAGTGCTTACCTTTACATCTGCTTTGGAAGGGGAAAATAAATTCCGCATGGAACCAACAGCTTGACTATCTTCTGGTTGTGTCTTGGGTCGGTCAATCAATCCACTGTCTCGAGGGGTTACCCAGTCAGTCATAGGGTTGAGATCCTTCTCAAATTTTCTCATTGCCGTATCAGCACTAGCTGGCCTGTCTAGGCTAGAGAATGAACTTTCACTCGATGCCAAACCTGAACCTTCATCATCAATCCCTCCAACAACTCTCTTCATCATTTCTGAAAGGTGACTTTTGACCGCAAAACCGATGTCATTGCAACTTTCCCAACGTGGTACCACTTGTTTTAATGCCATCATTTCAGAATTGACCTCATCCAATTTTAACTGCAAAATCAAAAGTTAAGTCGGTGCAATGAATGAAACCTTAACTGTGCAGGAACACAGAGAATCCAGCCACATAATGATAAAATTGCAAGTTTGAAGATAGTATGTACTACAAGCTACTCATATATGGATCATTTAAGTCTAACCTGGCAATGATCGCGTTCAATACGCATTTCCAACATCTCCTCCTGTAGTTTATTCACTAGCAACTCTAATGCCTGCCGTTATAATGTCACAGGGAAAACCTTAGGTTCAACCCCCACAACATAACTTGGGGATATAACTGGAAAGATCTTTCCTTGCACTCCACAAATACTTCAGAAAGCTTGCATATAGTTAAATGATTTTGACATTTATAATTACATCTAACGTCGTCAGAAAGCAGTTACCTGTATCTCATCCTTCAATTTAAGACACTCTTGCTCGCTTTCTCTACTCTTTCTACGCACAGCATTGAGCTCTGCAGTCATACCCACAGATATATCTGCCCGTGCTCTTCATGATCACAACATAATTACACTCAATTAGTGCATTCTCCAGACCTTAAATAACTTTACAGAGATCAATCTACTACGAAGTCTATCAAAATTTACCAGGATCGTTTGCATGAAAGTGTTGATGACGACTTCATCACTTCAAAATCACATATTCAGATGCAAAAATAGACAATGCAAAAGTTCGACATGTAGAAAAATATTGTCTTCTACCCTACAACGCACAGACCCTTGGAACTTCAGAGCAATTGGTGACCAATTCCTGTGCTGAATTCCTCCCACGCTTTTTAATGCTCAAATTATAATCCTCAAGTTACAAAATTCAATGAATCATCATCTGTGACATAGTTCGATGCCTCATGGATCCCGACGCCCACAAAAGACAAACTACATATGATATTAAAAAAGAATAAAAAAATAAGTATAATGATAAACATAACTATAACAATGAATGAAGGCAATACAAACTCAATGTTCACATAACGTTGACCATTATTTTAATAATGCAGATTAGTTCAACGGTCGTCAGCTAGTTTATGCTTGTAGAACGAATGCACGCTACTTGAAAACAACTCGTGTGTTGGTAGTTGTAAATAAAACAAACCGGATATCAGCTAGAAACTCTCGATGTGATTCATCTTCAAGAAGAATCTCCAAGCTTTGTGGACCACTGACAGTTTCAAGCCCCATGTTATGCATTCGCAAATTCAACAACTCCACTTGTAAAGCCTGTTCATGAAGAAACATTCTCATCAAATTGGATATTCAGAGTTTGAAAGACTCAAGCACAAATTACCATCACAACATCTCAGGCACTCTGGCACAGCTAATTTACTACATAACTTCACAGGAAGTCAATAATATTCTCACTCGGATTTCTTGCCGCAATTGATTTAGCATGACAGACTGCGGATCGCGGTTAATAACAGGGTTGTTGCGGATATTGCGAGCCCGGTTAGCGTACTTCAATGTATTCAGTGTCTCCTCAAAGTTCGTGTCTGCCGTACTATTAAAGAATATTGTGTAACCACCAAAATTAATGTGAGAATTTTATTAGATTTTTTGAAATATAAGCACAATACAAGCAAACGATTGAAGAACCCAACTAATCATCAACATATATATACATTCTACTCCACAAGAAGCACCTGATACATGCAATCATACATGTGCGGCTGTTTCCGCCCAGGGAATCCTGCAGGGTCACAAAAGCACACGCAAATATTGAAAGTAGTCAATTGAGAACACTCTTTACATAAGAAGGAATCAGATCACAGTTTAATCAATTTGAGGTTCAAAATAACTGCATATTCAACTAGCTGGATGGCAAGATGTTTCCTAGAACTTGGACAATCGAATTAGGAGTTTCTGCACATTGTCAAGTCAAAAAGAAAGGGGCATCTATTTCGACTTTTACATATGCATGTAATCCTTGCAGAGAAACCATCCTCAATTTCAATACCAATGAGGACATTCAAAGAAGACGCACTACATGAAACTACATCAAATGAACGTGTACACAAAACATGGCTAGAAGAAGGGAATGTAACCGAACCTGTAGCATTCGTGTAAGTTTCGATTCCCTGTATGGTACATGTTGACACCTTTTTCGCTCATCCCCCAATGCACTACACATGTTACAGTAAGCCAATATCAAACTTCCTAGAAATAAGTAAATTGGTTTGCTGATACAAAAATAATTTATGAACACAAGATTTGCAGAGGATCCATCACATACTGATACAAGCCATCGGTGCCAAATGAAGTGAAAGAATTGCAACACTGGTAAGGACATCAATGAAATAATGACAGCTTACAAATATTACCTTATGACATTGCCTAAAGCAAGCAGACCACAGTTGATAGTAACAGACTCTTTGAAACGCATGCCAACGGCACCCGTACGCTTCGCCCTTTCTGAGCCTGCCAAGTCAACCTGCAACACCTCAATGCTTAGGGGGTTAGACTCACCGATAACCCTGGCATTAAACAGACTACATCCCTGGTTTGTGCACTCAAGCCCATCCCAAAATTGGCTATCTAAGACTGTTTAGCCTACATCAGTTTCGTTTTGCGAAGGTCGTGAGATTGCGACCGGGTTCAGAGAAAGCGGCAATTGCATGACTCACCAAGTGAAACTTGGCGGTGATGACATCATTGGTATTAGTACATTCTACAATGCTCCGCTGCTCGACAATAATGGTGAAAATAGCATGTGATCGGCTCGAATGCTGGTTCATCAACGTACTTCCTGTTGTACGAAAAACCGACCCATGTTCAAGAAACCTGTAGAAGTAGACAGAGCAACCACACAATAGGTCTTAGCCTTTGATGCAAGATTTGATGTAATCAATGAGTAGATCATACCAATTACAACAAAGTGACGACCAAGGGAAAAAAATCACAGGGTGAGGAGGTAGTCAATCTCGAAGGATTGTACTAGTATTTCCAAGTATTTTCACACTCCTGAAAAACCCGAACGTGCAACAAGCGAAAAATAAAAAAAATTCTTCGTGCATCATTCTATAATTTACTTCCACAACAGACATGGCTGCTTAGTGACTTCATAAGAAATTCTGAAAAAGTACTACGCACTGAAAGCTACATACAACGTCGATCAACGCCAACTTAAAATAAATTGGTGTGCATACCTGATCATACTTTCAAAGCTGGTGACAACTTCTTCTTTAACACCTGCAAGTACTATATCGCCATTCGCATCTTCGCGAATAGAAATAGATCTAGAGGGCGTGTCTGGGTGCAGCAAGTCCTTAATCTCCTCATTGTAAATCTCAACAAACGCACACTTGATCTGTAAAAGCACGCATGATTCATCTCAAGCTCAGCACTCCATTGCAAACAGGCTTGATAAAATACAACCTTAGATGTCATAACACAAACAACATCTCGTTTCCAAGAATTCATCTGGCACTACAATCTTACACAGGAGAGGAAAGCAGATTTTCTAAGGAAATGTGGAATAGGTAAAGGAAATACAAGGAACTCAGCCTGATTACTGCGCTCCTCAACACATTCGAAGAGCTGGCGAATGGCTCGAGGTAAAATCCCGAGCTCCTCCTCCAACAACGATGCATTATTGCCACAACCCATGGTGAAAGTTTTCCCAGACCCTGTCTGTCCATATGCCAAAACCGTTGCATTGTACCTGTGTCAGTAGAAACTTCCACATCAAATTTCCTCACAAGTCTACACCAATGACACACATTGAACGCGAGGGGGTCCTGACTTTGAAATTTGTCATAATTCCACATATATTCAGCTCATTACTGAAAATAAAAACCCTTGAGCTGGGTATTGTCAACTAGATTTATTAATTGAATAGGTAATTATAGGAGAAAGTTACGTCACCAAGCATATTATACACAATCCATCGATGAACCCTTCTAATCTAATATCTTCTGAGTTCATCCCTGCGAAGTCCTGAGCAAAGTAGGCGAGGGCACGACCCGAGATTTCAGAAACCTACAGAAAAGAACTTTCGCTTCAGCGAGCTACAAACGGATGAGTTGAAATCTCAGTAAAACTCATCCCCAATAAAATCCCGAATATGCTTGAGTCGAAAAGTCGACCAACAAGCCTGTTTGGTTTCCCACCGGCCTTGGCTTCCGAGACAATTCTGCTCTATCCACAGTACTCCAAGACTACAATGAAACGAAATCCCATACTGTTCTTCCTTGTTTCTTCTCCACAATCGACCAGCCTTGCAAGGTGAATCAATTACTTTCCACCACTGATTTCCTTTGCAATTCCCAACGTAAAAAGTATGGAATTACCAAAACTATCGCAAAATGCCCCCACCATTGCTCTTTCCGCAGACTGCATCCACTCGCATTCGATTCTATCTGGAGGTGTGTCCAAAACAAGTCTAATCCACCAACTTGCCGAAAATTTTGAGAATTTTATCATGAATGCACAACGACCACAGAAAAAATCCTTCGATAGGTGCAATTACTATGGAGCTCAGCAACTCCATACAAGCGAATGCTTTAGGGCATAATCTCTACTCCTTTCAAACTTATAAGTTTACTGAGCGGCACAAGAGAAATAAGATCAGGATACTGTAGTTAAGCATCCAGGCAAATGTGTGGCCGTGTGTTTGCGTACCCAGCGCAGCAACTTTCAACAAGGGGCTTGACGCAGTCGATGTAGACATCTTCCTGACTTACAATAGGGCCGAAGACATGATCGAAAGTGAACCGACGATCTTTTCCCAAGACTACTTGTTTACCATCTTGTGAATAGGAAACACATTCCTTGCACTTCTCCACGATCTCCTTCTCGATCAAAGGGCGCGCGCGTACTGCGACTCGCACTGACGAACAGCCATCATCGAGGGCCGGGGAATCATACTGCGAGGGCGACAGTGGCACCGTCATGATTGTCGCACAAATGGTGCAGCAGCAGTCGTAAACACTCTTCCAATTTTCCGAGCCCGCGTCATTCCTCAAGGCATTTTATATCCATCGCCCGTGACGCCCCCGCACAAAGAACGGCTCAAGATGCAAGGGACAATGATAATGTCGGCATCTGTTGCCACTCCACCAATCTCCGACTTGCCACATTCTGCAACATAACGTGCGCCGTGTGAAATCACAACTCACAGGAGACACTCACGACTGAAAACCAGAAGGAAATGGAATAACGACACCTCAGTAGACTCCTCGGCACCTCCAGGAAAGTTGCTAAAATTGCCTCTGCTTACAAAATTGCTAAAAGATACGCACTGGAGCAACTACGACAGGCGGCGAGGACTATCAATTTATCAAGGAGTTCAATGACGGGAAATGCCTCGTAGTGAGAGCAAATTGTAGGTATTTATATTTATTTATATTTAAATGAACATATATGTATATATATAGAGAGAGAAACAAAGTATGATAACCGTCAAAGCAACAATCCGCTACCGATATCGAAGGGACAGACGTGATCAATCGACAGAAACTTGGGTCTTGCACTTCCTCAATGCAACCTTGAACCGATCAAGCCAAACTCGCAATCCCGCAATTCACGCTCTAAAATATCCTAAAGCACACAGGTTCTTTAAATCATTAGTCACTTACCAGACTTTACGAGTCGGGAATTCTCCTCTCCATGATTGATCAACCAAACCCCTTCCAATCACACATTCCAACTACAACGACAAAAACCTCCTCCAAATACCTTCATGATGACCGGAGATTATTGTGGTGTGCTGAGCTATGATCTCGAACGACTAATCGCTCAGAAATGACTGAAAAGAAGCGCAGCATCAAATGTAGGTAGAAGCTTGTAGCGTCTATGTTGTCTACGAGTGTAAAGAGACACGGCTCCTCTCGCTCTCTCGCTCTCTCTCTCTCTCTCTCTCTCTCTCTCAAAAAAACAAAACAGATCAACAGAAGATTTTATTCCTCCACTACCGCCTCGATAAATACTTGATTTCGGGGAAGGCAGTTCTTCCCCTAACTCCACCATCTCCCTGCTTTACATCAGCAATTCTTCTCTGCTCCACTGGTTTTTCTTGGCTGCGCCATAGTGACCATATCGCTTCATTTCCCCTTCCACGCCTACAGGCTCTGGTTCTCCAAGTCTCCAGATCGCGACATTATCGTCATACTCCATGGCGACTCTTTTCTTGAAGAATACACGAAAGCCATTTAATCATCTCCCGTCACGGCAGCACCGATGACTTCATTGCGACGTGATCAGTTCGTGCATTCAATCAATGTGTGCGTGGAATACCAGCAGGGCTCCCATATCGCGTCAAACGGGGACCAATCCCCCTCCCCCTCCCCCCTCCTGCAGCAAGTCGAAAGTATGCGATAACCATGTCCGAAAGAAGCAGGTTACTAGGGAGTAATGTCATGCAGCACAGTCCTGTCTCCGTCAAACCAGAAGTAAATGAGTAGAGTCGGGGCTAGATCTAAGTGGCGCAAGAGTACATACGGAGGACATACTCCCTATACTACGTTACTTATACCACTTTGGCTGAATTCATCTCATGATTTAGATGTAATATTAGCCTTGTAGCATATATGTGTTGATGTAATTTTTATTGAGTTTATTGTGGCATGGATGCATTTTTGAAGTGTATGATTTTAGGGTCTGTACTTCTTGTCTCAAGATTGGTCAGAAGATAAGGTAATTTGTGTTGTCTTCCCCCAGATGTAAAAAGTGTGTGGTACATAATAGCTTATTTGTTTTATCATAAGTAAAGGAAGATCGGATTTTGTTATGTAGATTTTGGTATGTAGATTTTTTATTAAACTTATGATTTAATCTATCGTTCAATTTATTCTTCTTATTACTGTCACTACTACTATTTTTATTTCTTTCAATTTTCAAATACATGCATATTTATTAATGTAATAAGTAATATTTTTATGTTAAATTGTGTCTATATTTATTTATTTATTTTAAACTTAATAAACAGTAAGAGCACTACTTTGTCTTTTGTGTTTTTCTTTTTCCTTTTTCTTTAAAAAAAATAACAACAACAACAACAAATATTAGAAGATTCTGAAGAGTGTACCTTTATTGGAGTACGTGTAATACTACAATGTATTTTTCTACAATACTATGATATAGAATTCAGATAGTATTTTAGAGTAAGAGTTTTGATAGCACACAGTTTTAGGGAGTCTGATTTTCTATTTTTTACCTACTTATCTATATCAAATGAAAATAAAATTCAAGAAATCAGAAAAAAAAAACTTTTTATCATTCGTAATACTGTATATATATATATATATATATATATATATAAGATCTAGGGATCCAAAATCACTTTTAAGTCTTATTTCTTATTTTAATTAAAACCAAATTTAATTAGTAAGTTTGAAAATACTCTAATTTTTTTATAATTTTTTTATAATTAGAATAATTAATTATATAGTTAATTTAATATTTGATGCTAGACCCTTAAACAAAGAGTTTTACTAATTTAATTTATTATATTTCAGAGAGGTTAAGTTTTCAAAAGTTACATTATACCAATTTTTTTATAGTACACTAAATTGACTTCAGTAATAAGTTTATAGTGGTCTATATTAATGACATTCTGGTCTTTTGAAAGGCTAAACAAGATTGTAAGATACACTTTTTTATTGATCTTGTAAAATAAGATGAATATTTCGTACAAAAATTTAGACAAACTTTTTATTTGTAAAAAAATATATATTTAAAAATATATATATAAAAATAAGCAATCAAAATTTGATTTAGAAAAATTTAAGATTATTAAATAGTAGAGAACATTAATAATAGAAGAATATATGCAAACTAAGTTGCATAATATAATATTTTTAAAGATAATGTGTTAAATAAAGATTATCTCATGATATAAGGTATAAAGGATAAATATGACCAAGCTGAAGATGAATATGAGATAATACAAATAATTCTATGAGGAAAAGAAAATAATACCCAATAACAAAAAAATAAGTTTATAAATTTATTTTTAGTTAAGAATAAATTAGACTTTTTTAAAAATATATATTTTTATTTTTAAAAATGATAATAAAGATGTTAAAAATTTACAATTCACCAATTATAGGCTATGGAAGGATAAAAAAATTGAAAAATTTTTAAAATTATACAATTGACTAAATATGGATTAAAAATTTGAAACTTATATAAAACATTCAATAATATACTATGTAAACAAGCATATTTACCAATTGAAAGTAGAATTGTAATAATCGCTATTAATTTCATAAGTAATACTTAAATGCTTTTTCTTATATTTTATAACAAGATGAATTAAATTTAGAGAATATTACATAATTTTGGTTATAGTTGATAGACTCAGCAAATAAATCAAATTTTTTCTTAAAATACTTGAACCATTATAGATATAACAATAACATTATTCTTTACCAAAAAAAAAATAATATCATGATAGATTGCTTAAAATCATAATAAGTCTCTAAAAATATATAATTATATATAATATCTTAATGGAAGATGATAAAGAAGTTAAGAAATAATGTTATAATAACAACTTGGCATTTAGAATTTAATAGCCAAACCAAGGAGATAATGATCTCTTTAAAAATTATTTGAAATATTGTATGGAAGTTTATAATATTAACAAGATTAATTTTTTATTCTAATTAAATTTCATTATATTTTAATTCTAATTATTTGAAATTTATTATCAATCAAAGTAAAATATAGATTTGATGCACTTATGCTAAAAAAAGAATATAAAATAAATTTGGAGTAGTTTTTTTCTTCATTAAAAGAAAATAAATAAATTTATAAAAATATTCATTATAAAGATTACTAAGACTTATTTAAAAATAAAAAATAAAAAAAAACAAAAAAACAAACAAACAAACAAACAAATAAATAAATAGGATCAAAAAGATGACAAATTCAAAGAAGGTAGTGATATACTAATTAACATAATGCATATAATAAAATTTATAAATATTTTACAAATTATATCTAAAAATGGTTAAAATCTTTTAAGATTGAGATTTTTTAAAAAAAAATGTATATGCTAGATGAGTAATAAATGATAAATTTTAAAATTTTATTATGTATCAGTATTAAAATTTTTTTAAAAATGATAAGAAAAATCTTAATAATAAGAATATAATCAAAAATCTATAGACATAATACAAAATCAAAAAATTGAGCAAATAATTATCTTATTAAAAAAATGAAATAAAAAGAATAGCAATCTAATGCATTATACTAAGTATGTAGACAATAACTTGGCATATGTATTAATATAATCTATATATTTTATTTTTGTGAGTTTACTTCCAAAATTATTTTAAGGCAAAGATATAGTATAGTAGACTTGTATTCTATGCTTAAAGCTAAGCCATAGTATAAAAGCAAGAAAATTCTATTATTAATACTGAGCTATATAAATAAAAAAAATTATTATAAAGAATATATGCAAAAGTGTCATATTATAAGAGTAATGAATTTATTGTTTCAAATAGGAGAAATAGATACAATCATTTTTATATTAGTAATGCTTGATGGTGATTTAAACTTTACAAATGAGTATGACTTCATAATAAAAGTTTTGTTGAAAGATGACCTCTTCAATATAGTTATCAAGGACATGAATCTTTAAGAAATAAATCCTTAATATACTCTTATATCATTCAAAAGAACTAAAAAGTCATTCAAAAATGATATGGTATTAAATTAGAATGATTATTGCCAAAGACAAGAAAATTAAAAAATCTTGAAATAAGACTAAAGATTAAAAAGGTGTTGACAAGAGTGAAGAAGGCTTCACTCTTGCCTCCATATATATATTCTTAACTAGGAGCTATGTGATAATATCCTATAAGACCTCCAAAATGTGTTGATTTTGCAAAGACATGTATCTTAACTTACAAGGCAAGTTTTTTTATATGTATGCCACATAGTTAGCTTGTTCTACAAGCTACCAACATGTGCTTAATTTATTGACCAAGTTTCTAACCTACCAATCAACTAAAACATATGTAAAATCAAAACAACATCTATGAAGCTTCTAGAAAGCTTTTCTAAAAACTATTATGAAATAAATCTACTTTTACCTACTTCTATTTAATTATATAGATAAATATTAGAGTAAATATGTATGTCCATGACATTACCTCCTTTCTTAGGGATGAGTTTCATAAGGAGCAGTCTTCATATGTTGAAGAAATCCAAGATGCGAAAAATTGTATTTATCACATACTTTGAACTTTGTTCTCTTCGAAGATGGTTGATAGATCCTCTCAACCATTGATAATGTTCTATATCAAGGCAAAAAGACCACCCTATTATTTAGTCATCGTTAAGGCCTTTATAAATTCTTTCAAATAAAATATTTGAAATACTATCAAGAATTGTTTCTACCTCTAATAAAATCACCAAACATTAGAAGTCTCTTCTACAGTCATAATATCAAATATTATGTATTTTGCCATCTATTAAAAAAAAACATGTTGTTCTTGAGGATCTTCATCTTGATTACGTCATCTTAAAGGTTGTTATAATTGCAATGTCTCATTTAGTAAGTTATTAAATGAAATCTTTTAAATTAAATTTGTTAGTTGTTAGTTTTTTTATTTTTTTAACATCACAAATACACAGAAGCTACAAATAAGGGTAGAAGGTAAAATGCTATCTTCTTTAAAACTTATTTCTTTTATAGTAAACATTTGTTATTCTTTATCTTGATTTTGATAGATGTCATTGATGAAAGGCCTCAACTCTTTTTGCTGTAATTGCAAGATTCTTTGTTGGCTTCCATATGTGTTCAGTAATATCATTTCATGCCAATGAATAAAATATTCTATCCTATTCTAATGCTACCTTGAATCTAAGACTTCTTCTACCTCAAACTCTTTATTATTATTGACTTCTATAAAAAAAAAGTGGTATTTATCTTTTTTCTAAGATATTTACTATCTTATATGGCTTAAGAAAAGATACAAGAAATATAAGATGAATCTTCATAGACTTTAATAGATGTAATCAATAAACAATAAGATTGACTTATTTACAAATAAAAAAAGGTTCAAGTGTATGATAGTCCAATTTATCACAAAGATGAGTAGTCTTGATATTACAATAGAATAACCAAATCTTGTCATCCACATTAAATTATACTTATTCTTTATGATACGAATCTACATTAATCTTTTGTTGTTCTTAAGTTTCCTTTAACTATGCCTTCATTGTTGCATGTAACTCTAACAAACAATTTGTCAAATCTTTTATCGCAAGATTATCAATTTTTAAAAAGTCAAAAGTATTCAATTATAGATGATAAGCATAATTGATAAAAGAAGGTGTTTGTTGAGTAGAAAAGTATATTAAATTATGATATGCAAATTTTACAAATGGCAAAAGATTTATCTAATCATCTTA